AGAATTTCTGAACACCTTTCATGTTGATTTGGCTGAAGTTTTAATAAAGGTATACGCAGCTCAAAACTGGCCCATTTCGTTGATGCTGGGAATCAAGTTGACTCTAATAAAGCCCTTATCGTATTTCACCCAACCTGTTGAGTGGCTTACCAGTATGACTTTAACATTCAGCACAGACAATCGAAATTGATTTGTGCAGCCCCTTTCTTTGCCATGGCAAACTTTTTTTTCCTTCACGTTCCCTAGTGGAACATAGGGCTTCAAGCTAGTGGCTTGAAGTTTCTGCAGCAGTGTTTATTTTACAGGATGGGGTTGCCAGCCTCATGCCCAACCTTTCCTCTTCACCAGCATTATTTCTGGCTTAGCAAGGTAAAGGAGTGAGTCGGCCTGGGATTGAACCCCGGACCATGTTCCTGGTTGGCGAGCGTCCTAACCGCCATGCCACCGACGCAGCCATGGCAAGCTACCTAGTATATATATATATATATTCAGTTTAACAAACTACTTTCCCCTCCCCCTTGTAACTATCGTTTGACTTTGTTATTTTCACACTTCCACCTAATTCTATTAACTTGTTTGTATCTAGTGTAATTCCACCGAGTCATCTGTCCTATTCTTCTCGGTCGTGATTATTTTACTATAAACCTCCTGATTGCGTAACAGTTTATTTCCCTAACCACTACGAATTAACTGTGCTTCAATTTCGTGATCAATTAATTATCTTCACGTCTCCTTCACAATTTGGGTATCTTGTTTCTGACATTTGCTAGTTGACTGTTTTGATGATTTTGTATCTCTCTTAATTTCTTTCTACCCCCCTCCCAGTTTTAAATAAAACTGATAATTCTTATTGATCAAAATAACCACATGATGACTAGTACAAGTTTGATGCAAAAATTACTACATATTAGTGTAGAGACGTTGAGGAGGGGGTAATTGAAAACAAAACCTACTTTTTCGATCAACGTTTTGTTTTGTTGTAAATGTAAATGTGTAAATGGGAATTCCCGTTAATTTCAGAAAATACCCACTGACCTATGAAGAAAATAAAAGACAATTTAGCGAAGAAAATCTCCTCTACGGATGAAATCATTTTCAGAGGCTGTACAGTCGTATTTATATTTACAAAAAATTGTATAGTAGTCTATTATATATTAATAGGGGTTGATATAATTGGTATAATTGCTCAGATGTGGAATTCTTCTCAGTCAATAACAATCTTAACCTTATGAAGAAGTTTCTAACACTCTCTGTCTTTGTGACATTGAGCACCACACGAATTTTACAACTTTTATTTTTACTTCTAAAGCCACTTCTGAGTAATTATGTTAATTATGTCAACCCCTATTAGTCAATAATAGACTAGTATACATTTTTGATAAATATAAAAGGAGGTTTTCTTCGCTAAATTGTCTTTTCTTTTCGCAAATTCCCTCATCTGTTTAGGAGACCACAATCGTTATATGCACACGTATATCTTCTGCTTTTTTCATTCTTCACTTCTCCTAATTCCTTTTGCTGATTTATGTAATGACTAGTTAGTGTATGCCAACATTTTCTAAAATACCTCAGTTATATATAATAATTCAAAACAATTAATCTATAGATAGAGAGAAAGAGAGAGGGAGTCTATGACAGAAAGCTTTCATTTCGAAGTTTGAAAAAGGCGAAGCATACCTGACCTAGTGTATATATTATTCTGAGTAAAAGGAGGCGATTGCTTAAAAATGCTGTCAATCTACGGGGGAGTGATTAAGGTAGTAGTTCACAAATTACTTTCCCCTGTGTGAACACGAAGTGCAGTGGAATGGAGGAGTTCTACAATTCAGTGATGAAAATAAACAGTAAGTCGACAGGAATCTCCAATTCTAATTATGCGATCGTAAGTTGGACAGTTTATCCCTTGGCATGTAAGTTTTATATGTACAATCCAGACTAAAAATGATCCTGAATACCAAAGGATTGATGCCAGTGATTTCGACGATTCGTTACTGAGACCTGTTCATAACAGTGAAAGCATAAAAAAGCATTTGCACATTTCATACACCTAACTTCATAGTTGCGGATAATTAAACATTTCTGATGGCCTCCTATGATTTTGTAAGCACCTTAGCATATAACTACCATCAGTGTCGCTGTTAAAACGCTAAGTAACTTAACATTAATAGTTTTTGAGCAAAAGAGGAAAACACGGGGAGGTTGTAAGATTCTGCTGGTGAGCTGCGGCTTTAATAGGCAGACTGATGTCAACAAAATAGACAGAATGACTCATTCCATTTTGATTAACCAATGATCCAATGAATTAACATATTTAAATATTTTCAAATAATTATAGTCGCTGATCTTTTTATGAATAGATTCAAAGATAACATCTTTTCAAGCATACTCACGCCTAAAATATGGTTAGGATACGTTGGTGATACTTTCGTAGTGCTAGAACGAGATCAACACAGTACATTCTTGGAGAAACTGAACAACCTATCTCCCAGCATCTAATTTACCTCGGAAACAGAATCAGACGTTGGTGAACTACCATTTTTAGACTGCCTAGTTAAGAGGAGGGAAAATGGACATTTTAGTATATCTATCAACAGGAAGAAAACCCACTCCAACAAATATTAAGACTTCGGGTCATCACACCCTATCACCGCAAAGGTATCAGTTGTTTCAAGTCTTCTTAGACGAGCACACTTTGATGTTAATGGATGAGAAAGAAAAAGAAGAGGAAATATCAAACATTACTGAGACTCTCAAGCAAAACAACTACCGAAAGAACTTCATCAACAAAATCAACACTGACATTGAGTATGGTCGAAAACGTATTCCGAAAACATGGACATCAAAAGTTGCCATTCCGTATAGATCAAAGGCGTCAGACAATAACAGAAGAGTACTCAATAAGCTCGACATCAGAGTTTTCTTCAAAACATCAGACACAATGCGAAGCAACCTTGTCCATATAAAAGACCAAATCCCTAAAGATTCTCTATCTATCTAATTGTGTTTATAAAATAAAATGCTTGGAATGTGATGCGATATACATCGGACAAACATCTCGAGAAATCAAAGCATCTATTCGACCACTGAGACATACAGTTGAACTAGGAAAGCTTGAAAAATTATCAGCCATCAGTCGTCTACACGCTACGCCATAGAATCAGGCCACAAAATTAATTTTGACAATATTGAAATCATCATCCAGAAAAATTTCAGAAATCACGAAGAACGTCTAATATCATCAGGAGCAATTCAAATAAAATGAAATCCAAATTTTCTGAACAGGAATGATGGACTAAAACAGAATTTGACCTGGCTACAACATCATCCTACCCGATAAAATGACAAAAAGGAACACGAATATGATAAGTAATTTCATTATGTGAACACAAGGTGCTTTTAAAATTTTGTACACTTATAAAATCCAACAAACTACACCTGGTTTTGTTATCTTTACCATTTGGTCAACTTGAGAACGGAAAAATGCCCCCATGCTGAGGAGCGATGATTAAGTTTATATATATACAAGCTGAGATTTTGTAAATTCTTCTGGTTTAATAATACTAATTTGATAAAGCTATTAGCATTAAATAGCGAAACGTCAGTAAAAATAATATATCGTTTTGTTTTTCATTCATTTGGAAATACAAAGAACCTTTATTATAATGACTTGTGATACGTGTTCTATATTGTCGATAAAGGAGACTTCCGATATGTATGAATCCTTGGATAGAAACTGAGCGGTAAGTTTTATAACAGATACAACGAATACGACGGCACGCATAAGCTATGTGATATCTTTACGCTTTCTTTAATCACAGTTTTCTTAAGGTAGGCATTTTCCGTCTTTCTTAAAGATTATATATATTAATAAAACGTACTAGGTAGGTACCGAAATAAATAAATGAACTCCGCATCAGCCATTCAGCGGTAGAATGTTCGCCAGTCAATCATCTGGTATGATTCCCTGCCAACGCACTTCTAGACTTCACCTAGCCGGTGGCAAACCCTGAAAAGTGAGAAGGTTGGATGTTTAACCAGCCATCCAACCCCTTAACAAAACAACACCACCACTAGTGAAAATTCAAGGCTTCAAACGCGAAGTTCTACGTGCCTATGTTCTTCTTGGAAGTGAAAAGAATTACAGATGAACTTCTCCGATTCTCTGTTATAAATAAGTAAGTAATCATGGCGACTGCATATATCTGATGCTCTGAACACGCACTAACAACAACAACAACAATCAACCAACCCAGAGTTCAGACAAAAGGCAGATGAAAGAATACAACACAACACAGACACACACGCAAAAGATATTAACATTTATAATGGTTTATTAATAAATGGTGAAGGCTAACTGACACAAAATGAAAACTACTTCTCCATTTCAGTGATGATAATAATAATACATCTCAGATTTTTAGAAACAAAACAAAAATCTACACGCTCACATCAATCTGAAATGTAAGCGTGTAAAATTCATGTAAAAAGAGTAAACCAGGGGTGGGTTCGGGGGTGCATAGTAGACTGCACCTGTTTTTATTCCACATAGATTATAAGTAGTAATACTAGTAACATCTCTCATGTGATAGTAATTTAATTTAATTTAAAACACATAAATGTTCAATGGTTCATTTGAAGAGAGAATTATCGAGAAAGATGAATCAAAATATAATAATAGTAATCATAGTAATAATAATAATTATTATTATTATTATGTTTATTATCTGGAGCGAAATTTCAGGAACTGGCAGCAAATGCAAAGTCTTTAGAAAATAAAGCATTTCCACCGCATATATTTCTAAGGGGGCTTTGTTTAAATCAAAAAATATCAATGCTTCAGCAGACCTATTAGTCAACAAAAGCCTCTGTCTTGCTGTGTTTGTGTATTTGTAGGACTTGTTTTTAACTAAGGTTATTTTTCCTCGAAAAATTAAAATGCAAAACTTACTTTGCTCAATATAGATGTTTTAGGGAGTAGTGATTAATTTTCACTTACAGCATTATTTATAAACGACTACAGCTTTCATTCCGGGTTCAGGAGGTGGTGCAGCTTGTTTCGCATGCGTTTCACAGTACAACTGTTCTTTAATATAAAAATAGCCAATATTTCTTAGGCCTATTCCACATTTACAGCATTTCAAGCATTCAGGATGCATTGGAACACGACCTTGTACTTTGACGAATACACCACGGATAAAACCTCCACAAGAACCACAATACATTGATGGTGGTGTCGATGGTGATATTTCAGGTGTTTGACCTGTTGGCTGATTTCCTGTTCCACTGGCATTGGACAATGTCCTTTCGAATGTCTGGTTTCTATTTTTTTGATTGTATAAGCCCATCGGTGAATTGTACGACGAATGACTGATTTTACGATAACGTCCATCGCCAACTTTTGCGATTAAATTTTCACCTGGAGCAGGTGGTGACTGTCCAAAAGGCAGAGGAGAGACATTGTGCTTAACTCCAATCGATAAATCTGTGTTGTCTGGTGTAGCCTCTAGACTTGTGTGTGTTGCAAAGACTGACTGACCATTATTATAATTATTATTATTTGTAGTGGGTGACGACATTTGCACAGATGAAACAACTTTTGGCTTCCATATAGTCTGTCGGTTAACTGGTTGTGGCGAAACTGGTTTCGGTGATCTGGTTATAGAATGAACTGGTGATGAGTTATAGCTATTGGAATTGACAAATGAATTTATGAATTCACCACGTTGAACAAACAATTCTAAGTCATTGTTTGATCGTATAATCTCCATTTTAGCGTCATTATGACGCATCCATTTAGTTTCAGACTGGTTTATGCGGATCACTTGATCACCAGTTCTAAGCCCACTGTAATCAGCAATACTCCCAGGATTCACATGTTGTATATTAATAGGATGACCAAAATCTGTCCCACCTTCAAGTCGAAATCCCCATGGAACTGATGTATCCTCACGAATTAAACGAATTGAGTAGAGTTGAGAAGCCATATGAGATGCTTGTAAATATTTGGTGCCTAGTGAAACATAGGATTGCAATTCATAAGTAACGCTCTGTTATCCCCTGAAAAATTTAGTTTCTAGCACATCTGAGAAAAAGTATATATATACATATATAAATATTTATAGAGGGAATTCCAAATAGTCGAGCTTATCATAAATGAAATGTGTGCAGCTAACCTTGAATTGGTTCTCTAAGCGTTATCCTATTGGCTAAAATACAGATATTGGGAACAATAGGCTGTTTTAATGCTTATTTGCACACAAAGCATATCAGAAATTATATTTTAAAATACTGTTGGTTTCTAACACCCTGTATTTTCTACACCTCATTGATTTTCTAGTAGAAACCTTGTGAATTTATGTTGATAGATGAAATATTTGCATTTCATTGGTTGGTTGGGTGGATGATTGTGGATGTGGTTGTTGGAGGATTACATACAACGATTAAATAACTAATCATATAGACAAATAAATAACGGGGTGTGAAAACATACAGTTACAGTCCTTACACACATCCCATTCAGTAATCTGAAGTCTGTGTGATAAATAATGCAGGCAATAAATATATTTTAATAGTTTTAAAGTTGCACAGTTCAACTATAACGGCGTTGTAGTCACAGCGATCTGTATTGCAGACATTGTGTGTAAAATACTGAAGTCAAATTGGGACACAAGAGGGAAACTATAATTCTGGAGAAGCAATATTATCCGGATGATGATGATGATGACTTGTAGTGGGATATAGGATGTACTTTTCGTTCTACAACCGGATGTAGAATTCCTCTCCCCATCAGTGGTTAACAGATCCGAACACAGAACCCACCCTTCCGAAAAACAAAACCTAATCCACTAGGTCAATTGACCCTGAAGACAGCTACTTATATGAAATATATCAGCTGTTATCTGTTGAAGCGGACAATGTCAGCAGAGAATTAGGATTCTTTTGCATAAAATCGCACAAGAGAAAACTTATAAGTCGCGGCAAGTTGCTCATTAACCATTCCTTCTAGAATAAGGCATTGTAAGCTTTTGAGAGTCGTTAATTAACTCCGAAGAAACCTGTGATTCTCGTGCGACTGAAGACTATTGTCATAGATTATTTGGTTCACTGTACCTAACTATATTAATAGGATTTATTGCCAAGTTTATGGATTTTAGTCAACGTTTAAGCCAGACGGGTGAACTGGTTGACAAGAAGCAAAACAGGTGACTGAATAATCAAGAAAGATTGTATGAAATGGGATAGCCAATGGTAGACGCATACGCGGATGATGCATGCAGGACAGTTAGTGGTTTTTCAGCAACTGAGGATTGGTTCTTATGACAATTATTATTTATATTATTATTCGCTTGAGTTCCGAATGAACCATAAGGCCTCAACAGAACATTTCACTTCATCCTCTTCGCCTAAGTGGTATTTAGCTGTCTCCACAATTGCTCATAAGGAATCATCACCTCCTCACACTATATCCTCCGTATAACCCTTCGACAGATGTCAACTAGTCGCTTCCCGTTTTGGTTCCACACCAGACTTAGCCTGGTGAGCGTTGTCACCCGTTGCTCTCTTCAGCATTTATCCCATCCGTCTTCAGTTTCTTCCGAATATTTATTGAGCAGTTGATTCTTGGATGGTTCGTTCTCAGAGTCTCTTGTTGCTTACTCTGTCCACATGTCATCTGATCTTCAGTACGGAACCAGCAAAGAGGGTAGTTGTTGATAAAGGTCTTCATCTGACTGTTAGAAATCCTTCTCGTGACTCAAACCCCAAATTTTTATTCCATAAATAACTAGCAGAAATAAAAGTGGTGTTTGAAATTCGAATATTTTTCTATTTACGCTGAGTGAAGCTGATTTCAGAGTGACGAAGGTCTCTATTCCCTTTCCGATTCTGGTTTTCACATCTCTATCTGTTCCGACTGCTTGTAGTTGAAACGATGCTGCCTATAATGCTCCTAGGAATGGCACTGATATTTAAAAATTGATGATTTAATGCGTCTGTGACCCGCTGTTAAAATGCTTACCAACCACTCACGTGGTCCTAGTTCTATCCATGACCAACACACTCCTGAAACCTGGTGTAGCCGACAGTAATTCCTAAGAAGACAAAACATTGGGTTTGATACTGGCAACCATACATCGTGCAAAGTAACACCGTCGCTCGAAGGTCGAATCCGAAGAATGAGGAAAAAAGTGACTAGACTTACATAGGGTGAATAGTAAAAGATACCAGATAGGAGGAGAGTTAATTGACTTGTTGTGTATCATCTTTCGACTTCATAAAAGTTGTTTCCTCTTCAGAGCAGTTACAAATGTTCACTAATTTCTCGAATGTTCTATGATCCCGTTTAACACAAAGCAAGACTGCAAACTTTTATTCGGCAGTTCGTGGGATAACAGAGATTAGGTTATAAGTATATATGCAGACTTTTCTGCAATTATTAAAATCAACAGCATATTTCCTTTTTTCGTCTGGCTAACTGTCATCAAATACTCAAGTATTGATCTGTAGGGATTTGATTGATTGGTTATAGGATTTCATCAAGAGCTGAGGTCAGTTAGAGAACCATTGGAAAACCTGAAAGTACTGAAAACCTGTTTTGTTCCAGTTTAAGACCCTTCATCAGTATGCACCCACTGCAAGGGTTCGAGCCCAGGAACTTCTGGTTACAAGGCAAGCTCGTAGACCATTAGGCCACTTGGACCTGATCCAACAGCTCATGAATCCAAACTTACGTCAATTCTTGATAAAGTGCGACCACTAGTCAATGTCTGCGGCGAGTATTTGTCCTCACTACCAACCTGCATCCTGCGCACATCAATCTCTGTTTACTCAAACGAGTAAAATTATCCCTGGAACAAGTGTGAGTATTAATCATTCCTGAAGTTTCGATAGGGGAAGAAAGACCAGATTTGAAGTATAAAATGATAACATTCTATTTCACAGGTTCTCATCAGCTCCAGACTACCTGAAAGTACAATGGTTATATAGATGATAATAACCTACTTTAATGTTAAAGTGGTAGTAGAGAGTATATACCATAAAATTGACGCATCCAAAATGTAAGCATTACACTGTTTTCATAATCAATTTATACGCTTTTAAAGTAGAAAAGAGGGGAAAGGCGTGAGACAGAAAACATAAAAAATTAACAAACAGTGTTAGCTTGTAGGTTCATATAGCAATTCAAAAAAGCGGTTACAGTTTGTAAGATTGAGATTTTTTGCTCAGTGAGTTGAGATCACTGAACTAGATGACTAATTAATGTAATCAAATCAAAATTCAGTTACCGAGGGAGTGAGAGATTAATCACACTCTCTTTCTGTATGCATAAGTCTGGTTTAAATCTGTCCCCAAGATGCACATAAACCGCATAGATACAGAAACGCAGTTTGAATACTTATAGCATCAACTTTCTGACCTGCAACCTGTAGACAAAGACGAAAGCGGATGGCTGAAGTCCAAACTGGTTGATAAAGCCGACCAATACCGTAAATTACCACCCGAAAAACAGAAAATACTTACTGAGGGGCATAGAGCGGCACTGAAGAGACTGCGTTTCTGTATCTATGCGGTTTATGTGCATCTTGGGGACAGATTTAAACCAGACTTATGCATACAGAAAGAGAGTGTGATTAATCTCTCACTCCCTCGGTAACTGAATTTTGATTTTGATTACATTAATTAGTCATCTAGTTCAGTGATCTCAACTCACTGAGCAAAAAATCTCAATCTTATAAACTGTAACCGCTTTTTTGAATTGCTATGTGAACCTACAAGCTAAGACTGTTTGTTAATTTTTTATGTTTTCTGTCTCACGCCTTCCCCCTCTTTTCTACTTTAAAAGCGTATAAATTGATTATGAAAACCTAAACTGAAAAGTTGTAATGCTTACATTTTGGATGCGTCAATTTTATGGTATTTCCTCTCTACTACCACTTAAACATTAAAGTATGTTATTATCATCTATATAAGCATTGTAATTTCAGGTAGTCTGGAGCTGATGAGAACCTGTGAAATAGAATGACGATATCATTTTGTACTTCAAATCTGGTCTTTCTTTCCCTATCGAAGTTTAACAAGGGAACCAAATGTATGGAATTCCTGAAGTTCCTTAATAGACCAATATATCAGTTGAAGGTCGTAATTTTTGACGATCAATATTATCATTGATTATTTCTTATGGCACATATGAGGATGTCAAAGCTGGTTAGCATTGGAAACGCAAGACATACCTTCATCACTGTGAAATCAGCTTGGAAATATTCTGGACTCACCATAGAGAATAAAATTTGGTTTTTCAACACCAATATTAAGGCAGTCAGTGGTTCTTTGTGGGTCAGAAACTTGTCATTTCCGACAGACTACGGTATACTTTCATCAACGTATGGCTTCTCTTGATCCATGCTGAAGATTATGTGACCATTAGAAAGAATTATCAAAAATGAACCATGAAAACCAACGAAACAAGAACCTAGTTATCAACAAATATTCCTAAATAGATGGAGATGGATCGGAAACATACTTAGGAGATCATTGTTTAACATCACGCACCAGGCCGTTGTTCGAGGGAAACCTGAACAGAAGACTAGTCGGAGCAGTAACATGGAGGAGGGTATGAGAGTTCATAGGCAACTGTCGGGCATGAATTCCTTCGAGGTTACAGATACGCATTACTGATGGGTGCCAACTAGCATGAAGCCAGGTCAACCAAGGCTTTCTTCCGATCGCCACCAACTTTCTAATACCAACAGTTTTCAGTGCTCCATGATGGCCACATTGAAAACTTCACTGAGAGAATTCAGTCTGCACCAAAGATAGGACTACATACACATTAAACTAGTTACTGACTAGTGTTCAATTAAAAATAAAATATAATATTCCTTGCGTTCCACTTGGAATCTTTGAATTCATAATCACACCTCTATTATTTGAGATCATTTATCCTAGTTTTACCAATGCACATCAGCCCTCACTTCCTCCTCATAAT